ATTTTCCTTTAAAATTAAAATAAAAATTAAAACCAAATAAAAATTATTGATACTCTTGTATACTCTTATTAAATATTGTTTAAACATTAAAAATTAAATATATTTAAATATATTAAAATATTAAATTATACGATTTTCCTTTAAAATTAAAATAAAAATTAAAACCAAATAAAAATTATTGATACTCTTGTAGATATGTAAATATTATTTGAATATCAAAATATCAAATGGTGTGACTTTGTTTTTGACTGCATGTAAATCAAAAAAATAAATAAAAATTATTGATTTTTTTTTAATATTTAAATATTAGTAAATAATAAATATTGTGTGCATATTTACATATTTTATTATACATATTTACGTATTTTATTTCACTTACAATTTATAAATAATATCGATAAATTAATATTCGAGACTTTATCGTATAAATAATTTTTCATCATAAAAAAATTTTTATTATTTTACTTATAATTTTATTTCGTAATTATTATTAATAATTTTTATATAAAATAAAAATATATACAATGTCTCATCTAATTTCAAATATCCATTTTAAATATCTCGCTTAAGACAGAAAAAAATATTCAAACATTATTTCGTTCGAAAAATATTAAGGTAGGAAAAAATACTCATAACGATAAATAATAATCAATTATTAAGATTAAGATGAATCAAATGATTTATAATTTTCACGCGACCTTGAATACAAAAAAAAAAAAAAGATTCACAAAAAGGGGAAATTTAGGAAATTTCCAAAAATAAAAGGGCGCTTCTTTTATAACACTCTTTGGATTTGTGGCTCATAAATTCGATAATTGCAGCGTATCTACCGTGTTGTCCCAGTTGAATTACGACTATGAGGAATGACATTAATTTCGCGGAGAAACGAATTAATTTCGACGAAACTCGTTTACAGTTTACATCGAGAGGAGAATTGCCTGTTTACGACCCGCTATGGTTTAATCCAGCCCAGAAATTCTTAAACCGAAGTTCGAGAACATCTAGGTATCCATGAGTGATTTTTCTCAGGCTAGAACTTGATTTATTATTCAATTCTTACGTCAATATCAACATATCCTTATATTTGAAACTAATATTAATACAAAAAATTTTCATCTTTTTCTTTTATCGATTTAAAATATTTACAATCAATTCATCATGGAATTATTAAATAAATTTGTCGACACTGTATTGTGAAATAACGATTCAAGTATAATGATTGCATGCAGATAGATATTTGTACTTTTTCCTCGAAAAATTTCAAACTTAATCAAAATGATTGTTATTTAACATATTTGGTATCTTTGGTTTTTATTTAATATATTAATAACATTTAAGTGTTTTTATATTTAAAATTAACGTGAAACTAAAAATTTTTAAATGTATTTTTTTCGTCGTAAAATTTTCAAATCTAATCTAAAATGAATCGTTATTTTGATATATTGGTTTATTTTGTTTTGATTCTAAATACAGATAATTCTTGTATAACGATACTTACGCAATGCCGTTTTGATGTAACGCCGTTCACAAGTTCTAGCAATCCTCTTATAACGCGGTCGATATAAATTCTAATAATACAGATTGTCCTTGTTTTCCATTGTATAAAATTTTAAATTAGAATATAAAGATATGATTTATCTTTTTTCTCAACACTTTACTTAAAAAAAAAAAAAAATTGTTTTTGGAACGCAAGACTAATACTTTTCGTGATGCAAATTTAAATCTCGTAATTTTCTATAACGCGATTTTTATAACGAGATATATATTTCTGAAACTTAATTTCTTATTTCTCGTGTTATAAGAGAATCATCTGGATATTTTATCATTGAAATCAAAAATTGGAAAATGTCGAAAATTTTGGGTATCCATCGTAAGAAAAAATGTTCTCATAAAATCTTTTATAAATCGAAAATGTATCTCTTGATATATAATATTAAAAAAAATCAGTTTTCTTAAAGAAATTTAGTATCGATTCAAGTATAAAATTTTATTTATCAGAAAATTAATGGAACGAGAGATCAAAAAATTTTGATTATTATATATATTTTTTTTTTTGGTATCATGAAATTTCAATAAATTTTTCATCACAATCAACTATTAAAATTTTTCATAATTTCACTTAAAATATCAGAAAGATAAATATATATATAAAAAAAAATGGAAGCACAACATTATAAGCAGTAAACAATAGGAGGTTACGGTACTCGAGTTCGAGGCTACACACAAAGGTTTGTCTTATAAAATAGAGCTCCCGAACACAAAGAAGCTATTGAGTGACACTCATCTAAGGAGTGTCCATAAAATTTCTCGTTGAACGAGGTACTCTTTGTGAATAAGATTCTCTTTCGCGTACCATAACCAACGCTAATTACATTCGCACGATGTAAATCACGATACATATTTTCTCGAGTGTTCCAGACAATAATTAGGATGAAACATTTCCGATATTGTTATCAAAATTCGCAAAACGAATTTGAATTCAATCTTCGTTTCCACGATGATTACAATGAATAAATTTAACTTCCGGTTAAAAATTAATTTACAATTAATTTTTTAACTGTTTTTATTTAATTTTACAGTCAAGAGATAAGGAAAGGGTACAGTATGTTTGGTTAACCTTCGCGAGTTGAAATACATCAATTATCCGAGAAATATTAATTAATTAAAATCTATAAATAATTCTATTATTACAAAATTTTAAAAAATTATTTTGTTTGCATAATTATCTGTCAATGAATTATTATCTAATTACACAATCGAATTTTGGATCCTCAAATTGCATTTTTATTCTAACTCTATCACACGTATTTCCTAACCTCAATTTGATCAAAATCCTTTTTGTACATTATTCTTTATTACGTATCTATTGAATAAATAAAATAAAACGACAGTTATCGCGTTATTGGAATTCTGTTCTATTCTTTTACCTCATCGAGTTATAGTCGATTCCTGGGAGAAAATTCTATCCTTCTATCGCTCGAGAATTGAACTTCGTTAAATTTAACAGAGTACTGTATTTCGTGTTATCACGTTCGAAAAATTGTACGACGTTAAGTGCACCTAAAAAGGCGTCGTAGAGCAAAAGAATTTTTTGAAAACGAGCTATAAGTGTAATAAATCAAACGGTTCGAGAGAAAATATAAAATAGCTGCTATAATATAGCCAAAGTTCTATAGGCTGAAGATAAGTGGTAATCTTTTGGTTATTTTCGTTCTATTGCAGCAAACTTTGAAAAAACATCACGCTATTAAATTGTGAAAAAGGGGGCAGAAAATAACCTCTTACCTTGTTTTGAATTGAAATTGATATGCAGTTTTAAATTGGAGAGTTCATTAGCGCGATTATAACCTCGTCATTTGAATTCTGAAGTTGTTTTATATCGATGCATTTCCGTTTTCATTGTGGAAAATAATAGAATTGAAGATCTAAATGAAATGTTTGAGTTTATAAATTTTTAAAATGTTAATAAAGAAATATTTTAATATTATGATATAATTTATGCTGATTTATGCCAAAAATGAAACATTCTCTTTGGTACATTTTGCCAGGGATTGTGAGATTGAAATGTAATATGATTTTCGATCCTGATATGGAATTATCATTTAATCGCAATTATCATACTGAGATTGGTCACTATTAATCTTGATTGGTTTATGAGAAACTCTAGAATTTTGGAATTTTTGTTACTTTTACATAAAATTAAAACATTTGAAAACAAATATTTTAAAATTAAAGAGCATTTTTGAAGATTAAAATAAGGTTAGGTTTAATTTGATTGAAATTTTGAATTTTTTTTTAGTATTTTTTTAAAACATAATCAATCTTTAAATTAGATTTTATTCTCCATTGCTATTAAATAGAATATCATTATAAATATGAAGGGAATAATTGACGTGATATAGTTATAATGGTCACGGCAAATTAATTAGTTATATATCTACGAAAATTTTATTATTAAATTTAGAAATTCAAATAATAACTATAATAATATTTAGAATAATTTGTTTCTAAATTATCAAAAATAATCATTCAAAACAATTTTGAAGTAAGTAACATATTTTAAATAACGTTATTTCAAATGCATGGTTAATTATGCAGAGTCAAGTTTGTTTATACATCACTTACTAGTTAATTAAATTTGAAATATTAATGAAATATTTCAATAATTTACTAATTAATATTTTACATTAATTAGAAATCTTATATAATAAATTTTATTATTAATTATACATTTAATTAATAACAAAAGATTAGAAAAATAAGATTTATTTCACCATCATCATCTGAAAACTGAAAGATTGGAAACTTTTTGTTTGTAAGGTGTCAGCCTTACAAACTTAGAATCAATGGAATTTAATCATTAATCATTTAAAATTCGACCTCGAGAATTTGAAGTGATTAAACAAAGTTTAAAAGCCCTATATTTCATTAAAGCATTCAGTATTTGATATAGTTTAACCTTTAAGGGTCAAACTCTTAAAGCGTTATCTGAAAATTGTAAAATTGAAAATTGTATATAAGATATTAATATATTCGTGAAATATCTTGAAAGATCGAAGCAAATGTAATGCAAAAAATTTACAAAATTTGAGACTTATTTATTAAAGTATAGATAGATTGTAGATGTTTATGAAAAATAATGAATACAATTAAATAGAGCTTAAGTAAATGCATAAATATCTGCAGTCTAGTTAGTAAGTAATTGAAGTTTGCGTTAGATAAAGCGAGACATGGATGTGATAAGATAGCTCTATCTTTATCCAATTAATTTAAATTGCTTCTAACTTAATAATAAAAGCACCATTTATGTATTTTGATTTGAAGAATAGAATTGAATCGATAAAAATATTCCACGAATATATTTCATACATTCTATTACATTGAAGCCAAATTTGATATTATCTGACCTAATAAATTATTTACCGTTTTAACGCACGCTGCCCAACGGTGCAACTCGTTCGTTAATTCGCTTTTGATCGTTGGAGCAATTTGATCAACCTCAAATCGTTCGATATTACCCGTTATTAAATTAAATTTTAATTGGGTAAAATAAACGCACGACTCGACTCGACTCGAATCGTCGAGCAACTCGATCATAAATTGCCCCGTTACACATTAAGACATCGTGTACGAAAATGAAATTTATCAACTTGTCCAAACAAAAAAAAAAAAAAAAAAAAAAAAAAAAAAAAAAAATAAACTAAAAAATAAAATTAGACCCCCTTTTTTTTTACAGTCAAGGTCACGCAACGCGACAGCCGTGAAAGAATAACCCAAGGCGACAGACACGGAGTCACGAAGAAACGCGGGATTGCAAAAGGAGGGGGGGCGGAAGAAAGGAGGAGGGGACGAGGCAAAGCGAAGAGCGAGCAAGTGGAAGAAGCGGAGAAAAGAGGCGAGAGGGCGCGGTACGACGCTTAAGAACGTACGTACGTAAAATTTCAGAGACCAGAGGAGAGAAAGAGAAAGAGAAAGAGAAAAAGAAAAAAAAAGAAGCCAGAGTGTCGCTAAGACAGAGTATATCTAAACGGAGTATAATATGCAGTTAGAGGGGAAGGGGTGCGGGGCCGAAAAAGCCTTGTGAAGAAACTAAGGATTAGATGGTGGAGGTGCTCGAGGGGCGGGCTAGGGAGCCTACGGGGCCGATCAAGGCACCTCGCACCTACCCAGGGCCAGGCAGCCCTGGAAACAGCCTCCTCCAGGTCCTCGACGCCGAAACAAATCCGCAACTGCGTCCGCGGCTGCGTCCCTCTTACCTCGCTTCCGATGCTCTCTTAAGGTCCCTCGCTCTTCTCCAGACCAGAGGCCAGATATCACCGAGATCCCGATTCTCGTCGAGCGTGGTGGTCGAGGGCAGTGACAACCTCGTGGACAACCTCGGCCTCGATAGGCCGGGGATCGAGATCGCGGCGCGGGAAGCCGCGAATCGGTTCGGTGGGGAGGGGCAGAAGGAGCGTAGAAGAAGAAGGCGACGGGAAGTAGGCAGGAGAGACGGGAGTTCGGCAAGGAGTGGATTCGACGGCGAGGAAGGGGGCTCTGACATTGACAGTGGAAGCGGCGGGGAAGGGGGGGCGAGCGGTGAGGCTTGGAAGATTCGAAGATCGGATCGGTGGTGGGCCGAGTGCGGATCGGGCAGAGGGGACAACAGGGCGGTCAGGGGGGAGGATAAAGAGTGGTGGTGGGTAAAAGTGGTGCAGCAGAGGAGGGGAGTGGCCGAGGAGGCAAGGCCGGAGGATCGTGCGGAGCCCGGGAAGGGCTCCTTAGGAGGGAGCGAGACTGGCGAGCGCAATGTGGCAAAGCGGCGGCATGGGCGCCCATGCGGCCAACAATCCATGGATGAAATTAATGGGCATTGTCCACAAGGAGAGAAGGCATCACGATTCGGGCTCTGCCGCTGCCGCCGCTTCCGGTGTTCAGGGCTCTGCGACCACGGGCAGCAACGACCGGACCCTCAATCAGTGAGTTCGCACCATTCTCCTTCCCCCTTTCTCTTTCTAGTTGGTAGCGTGTAGTAGAGGAGATTATTATTTTCTTTTCTTTTTTGTTTTTAGCGCGTTGTTATTTTATATCTTTGGCCGAGTTAGGATGAATTTTCTTTTCATTCGAGGGAATCGAGGATACAGAATCGCTTGAATGTATAACGGATTCTCGTTTATTCTCTGCGAGTTTCGACGGTGCTTTTTCTTTTTGAATGGTTGCGTCGATAAGGAATTGGTAATTATTCTGCCAAGAATTGGCATAATATTTTTTCCCTTCAATATCAATAAATTACAACATTAATTGTATTGCAACTGTCAAAAATTTTAAGAGATTTATCTACTGGTCGTAACCAGTTCACATTAACAATCTGTATAAATTTTGGGACAGTTTGAGAATAATTGTTGGCCTGTATTTTTAAAGCCATGTATATACAAATAATGTGTATACACATTCAGTCTAATAATAAATCCACAGATTGTCTCAAAGCATATTTTATTTGGATATTAGATGCAGAGTCATTTCCGCCATTTTTTGAAACAATGTTTGTTTGTATACCATGTTAACATCGTATCAGTGTATACAATGATCACATTCTACTATCATGACTTGAGTCTTTAACAATTATAAATGATTTTTTTCAACAAAAAAGCGATTGCAAATTATTAGTGTATTCGCGTTAACTAATGGACGATTGTCCACAGAGAAGTCTATCTATTCGCGGATAATGGAAGATAAAATACAAATCCAGGATCAGTTTACAGGTAAACTACTGAATCGTATTTTAAGGCTCGTCTTCACTGACAGACATTGTCCGCAAACAGTTCCTCTACACTGTCCGTCAACAATGTCGTCGGATTATGCAGGTGGACCGTGTACAAATGCATTCATCAGTTATGCATTCATTAGTATTCTATAGGCTCATTTACAGTGGCAGACACCGTTCAGGAGGTAGAAGTGGAATATACACGAGTGGCCACAAAAGGTCACTTAATTCTGTTCATACGCGATGATGACTACAACTGTACAATTTCTTGATCACAGAGATTGAAAATACTATTCGCATACATATCGGTCGGATTACATTAAATTATATTAGGCTACTAGATGTACAGATGATGTTCATCCAATCTCTCCCTTCATTCAATTATACTTAAATTATTTCTAACCCAATAAATAAATCTCAATCGATATTTTTTACCAACCTTTTATATATTTTACTTCGAATTAGATTCCTTCTTAAAAGAATTCGTGAATATATTCAACACCCTGTTCGCACAATCGATGCTAACGATTGAATTAAGAGGGAAACCGCTCGTACTCGAGAGAGTGTGAACAACAGACTTGAAATTCAAAGGGAAAGTATTTATCAGGGAACAAGTAGGTCTCGCGGAGGAGGATTGAATGGAATAGCATGGAGAAAGCATTGTCGATGGCGATGCCCGTGTTTTCCAACCGTCCACATGTCCCTCGTTTCTTGCTCGCCCCGGTCTCAACTTAAATCCTTCGTAAAAACCAAACAAGAAGAGAGAAAGAAAGAGAGATAAAAAGAAAGAGAAAAGGAAAGAAGAGTAGGAGCGTGGAGTTTTTAATTGTGGCACACTCGACTGCGCACACCGAGTACCACACCAATACGATACATCCCATTCGTGCAATGGCGAAGCGGTGTGTGGAATGACGTAGCATATTGTTGGAGATTAGTGTTGGTGATGGAAAAAACCGCACGGCAACTCGTCGACTCAGCGCCTGTTGAAAATGAGAAAGGGAAACAAAGAGGTCCGATTTTTGTTTGCCAACGTAGTTTTCAAGGATCAGAATGGATGATACGTGGAGAGCACAAGGCTCCAATAGAATCGTCAAAAGATTCTGAAGGAGTTTTCTTTTTTTTTTTTCTCCGCTAGAAAACAAATAAAAAGGCAACACAGGTTATCAGCTTTGTTCAGATATATTGGCGATATTCCTTCTCACGGATTCACCTTTAACCCGATACTCGACCACGAGAAATAGTTCCATCGACGAGGACGAGTCCGATAAGGTATGTAGATTGGGACTCTCGTCGCCAACGTGGAAACTGGTGCTTTATCCTCGAGTGCGATCTTTCTTTCTTTCTTTTTTTTTTTCACTTGATCGTTTTATGTGTATTGCATGACTGGCCCTCTTTGACCGGATTATGCTAACGACCAAACGAGTAATCGATACCATGCGCGTGGAAAACAGAAAAGGGATATACCCGAAACGGCTGTGCAAAAGTATAAGAAGAGGAAATAGAACGAGACATAGGAAACGTTAGATGGGGATGTTAAGGCTCATTTTATGTTTTGACAGATACTGTTTTGTGCGAAAAGTACATTGCCTGCCGACAATATCGAGTAATTTTGTTGGATTGTATACATGATATATACAGAAAAAGAATAGGAAATGAAATATAACATATTATTCGCAATTCACTATAGATGCACTATGTAGGATGTTGATATTAGGTTGTGTCAAAAGTTAATTTTGTCTTTTTATTGTACACATCTTTTCATCATATTGATATGTTATTAAAAATTTTATACATTTTATGCACAGAACGTTTTAAAATCCATTTCCTTAGAATTTTTATTATTTTATATTTTTAAAATAATTTTCTTTGAATTATTCTAGAATAATTTGTTGTGCTCGTCTAGAGTCATCTCTTCTCGAAGTTTCTCCCGTGTTAATATTCTATATATGTCGATCCATTTCTATTCAAAAATTTTAGTCACGTTCATGAAGGTAACCTATTATTGCGAGCAAGCTTCTTGTTGTTCGTCCAAGTGTTCCTTAAGTGGAGAAGAATAGTGACGGAGAATAACAGGTTGATCATATCAAGTTTACAAGAGTTTCGATTCTGTCTGGACTTTAGAAGAAAGCAAACTTTCAATATGATAACTTGCAATTCTGATATCTATAGTGACTAACATTTGTCTATAAGATATTACTAATACTAACTGATATTGTATTTTAGTTTTCCTTTAGCATCTGTATTGCCAATAGTTTTTGATGTTAATTATATCATTATAGAAGATATATTTGAATTTATACAATATCTATATTTTCTGCTTAAATTCAACTTTAATAGCTTCTTCAATTTTAATAGCTTGATTAATATATGATAAAAAATTTGAAATTCAAAATTTTAAAAATTTATTTATTTATATATTTCTTAAATATATTCAAAATTTTATGTAATATTAATAATATTTTTTCTGATAATTAATATTCGGTTTTAGGTAATCAAAAATAAAAAAATTATATTTTCACTTATTTTGTTTTTTAGCTATTCATAATTAAAAATCGAAAAAAAAAATAATGCGAGTTTATTTTCTTAAGGACTTTTTTTTTAATAATCATTTAATTAAAAATCAAATTTTCAATACAATTGTATAAAATTTTTATATACACATATATTACGCTAGTAGCACCAATTAAGAACCGCTGATTCAGAAGAATATTTAACTTATTAATTATTAATTAATAAGCATAAATATCAGTTATATTTCGTGATAGGAAGAAACATATTTTCCGGGTGTCGATTTTTAATTAGAATCTCGCGATTGCGGTATAATCTTGCCAGAGAAGCGAATCGAAAGGGGCAATATAACAAAGAAGAATCGAGCGTCGAATTGCCGTTACTCGACTGTGGCGCTGCCTTCGCCATCCGTGACTCTTTCTCGTTTCCGTGCGTTTCTCGTTTCCTTTCTCTCTTGCTCTTTTACCACCGGTATCGTTAGCCAGCGCAGATACCATAGTCAATTTTCTTCGTGAATTCGTAAGAACTCGAAAATTACCCGATCGATCGATTCCTTCACGGAAAGGTTCTTAACCCTTATATATCGATAATAATTCAAAATTATTATCATTTTGTTTCTGATTTTAGAATCTTTTGATAAGTAAGATAAGTAAGATTGTAGAAATGTGAATCAAGTTGACAAGTATTATTGTTATTTATGAGATAAAATAATTAATATTCAGAAGAAAGAAAAGCCAAAAATTGTATACAGGGTATTTCATTTAATATATAAATATTATTTTTGGGCTATTTTTTGACGATGTCGCAAACAAAAGTTCGAAATTTTAAATTTATCGAATATAATACAATAAATAAATAACTTATTTTTATAGAAACCAAAATCAATTTGGATTTAAATTTCGATAAAAATTTAAATTTAAAATAATAATATAGTGAGAAAAAAGGATAAGAAAAATAGTATAAATAATTATATATTCTTCTAATATACTTAATCTTAAAAATAATTAAAACAATCATATAATATTCTGTATATTCCATTATGTTAATTTACTATCAGTAATTAAACGCATAAAATTCTTCAATCATAGAAAATTACTTAACTTAAATCCTTAAGTATCTCATATATTTTATAAATGTAATAAAAAAATAAAAATTTTTATCTTAATTTTCGTATCAATTTCGTATCATTTAAGAATAATTAATTATTTGTTTTAAATTTATCCTCGAAATACATTGTTTCATCGTCATTTCTAAAGAATGTAACAAGGACGAGTTGTACAAATAATCCTGGATTGGATTGCCCTTCGAATCATTACAAAAAAAATTACAATTACAAAAAAAAAAAAATATTTTCACGTAAAATTAATTAATTATAAAACAATTAAATACAATTTCGCTAATATAATGCAATGTTAAGTTCGTGCACTGTTTATTATTAATTCGATCGATACAATTTAATTGTACGATGCAATACTTCTTATTGAAATTCGATATCGGATTCGCAAATTTTGTTTACAAAAGTGTACGAGGGAAAATGCGTAAGCAATTTTATTTTAATAACCATCGAATGCGACACGTAAATACTTGATGTGCGATCAGATTTATAAATCTGCTCAATTAAGCGTGTGAATTGAATCGCAACTCGCCGAATTTCGTGGGGATCATTGCAAATTATTCGTAACAATTTTAGAAAGATCGAAAAAACTGATTACAAAATTAATGCATCGACTTGACATTTTTTTTACAAAAAAATAAAAAGAACAAAGAAAATACCAATGCTCAAT